CCAAACCAATCACTTACTAAAATCCATCAAAGTATTTGGAAAGAGATTTTAAGTAAAATTCTTCATAATGTTGCAATCCCAGTTGCAGTTATTTTTCTATAACCTATTGGATCTATCTATCTATCTATCTATCTATCTATCTATCTATCTATCTATCTATCCATCTATGTATCTATCTATCTACCTATCTATCATCTATGTATCTATCTGTCTATATGTCTATCTATATCTATGTATCTCTCATCAGCCATGAAGTCGAGACATCAGTCAAACAGAACTCCATTGCTAATTGAATGATGGACTGTGTAAGAAAGATCCAGCAGGACCAGCCATTATGGAAAAGTAGTCTCACATTAGTCAATGTTTCTATGAAGGTTGGAAATACTTGAACTTCACAGGCAGTGAGAACAGTTGAAGTATTAAACATATTTCCCAACTTAGAGCAGTTAGAAAATTATTGTGAATAATTTCCAGTTTAGTTAGCACCCGGTACACTAACAGTCAATCTCTACATCCAGATGAGAGCAAGCACACAAATCCCTCAGTACAGCTAACAAAAATATAACTTTATATTTGTTATGAAACATCAGCAGAATAAAAACATTTAACTGGCAAAATGGATAATAGGTGGCAAAAGCAAGTAAAAGAGACATGAACAGGTACAAATTTATATTATCTATATCTATCAAAAGGGGCATAACTTTCGAGAGCTACTACCAACTCTGTTACTGTTGCTGTTACTACTAGAAATTAGACTGTAAGTAATTAACATAGATAATCCATAAAGGACCTTTCCCTTTGGTTGTCCAGCTTTAATCCCTTATGTCCGTAGTACTAACAGAATACTGATGAAAGTAGGATACTAATGATCATTCCTCTATTCTGCACCATGAAAGTAACAATTTGGTGGTATGAGAAGGCCTCCAAAGGCATACTTTTTTCACAAATTATTTTACTAAGTCTCTTTCTGTTGCAAACGCATGTACCTTCCATATGTTGATCACAGTATACATGGATAAATAAAAACACTCTCAGATTGCAAACTGTAGCAGCCGTCTTCAAATTACCACAAAATGAGAAACAAAGTTGAAAGCCCCCTACTCAAGTTTTCAGAATCAACACTTAACTATATGGACAGCTTTCTGGTTTTCACAGGGCTCAGACTGAAGGGTGCCTGTTGAATTAGACAGTGAATGGATTCTAATTTGTCAAGAGGGTCCTAAGCATTGCAAGGCTTCTAAGGGGCAATTCAATTTGACAAAGCTTTGATCAAATTACCTCTTTGAAGCAGTTTCTTAAACTGAAGCAAGGTTCAATTCAAAGGACCAGCTTCGCCATTATTGCCTATGTGCAAATCTTTTTCCTCAAAAAAACTGTATTGGTTCTTGAATAGAATAAATTTGCCCTGCATGCCAACTTGCAAATAATTGAATCGTGCTTTCTTCACATTTCAGATCTCCTGCTTGATTTTCAAACTTTAAGTTAGATTGGACTAAATTTAATTTTATTCCAGAACTTACCAGGTGCTATCTGACATTGGAAAGCAACAGAGCAGTCCTAGACATCTGCAGTTGCCCAGCCAATGGCAACAGACTCCTCTTCCTTGACCTCAAAGGCAAATGCTACTGACTGCATGAGGGGCCCTTTTTCAATCATCTCTGTGCCCTTTGGGATGTGATCTCTGAAGTACTTTAAATTTGTCTCCTCAAGAGGAGGGATTCCTCAAGCAATATCGGCAACAATGAAAGATTTATGTAAGAGTTGCATATTTTTGCTTTGTCTCCTCTTATCCAGCCAGGAACCAGCTTTCTTTTCCAAACTTTAACATCCAGGCTATTCTCTTATGTAATAAAAGAGAGATCACAGCAGCCCTATACATATCTCTTTGAAGTCTGAAGGTTGAGTCATGGCTACTGAGCTTATTTTCTTATTGGTTTGAGACATTTCACTGCTCATACAAGCAGCTTCATCAGTCAGAGCAAGAGCCTTTGGAATGTACCAACTCTTTCTTCGGGGGGGGGGGAAATCCCTGAGGTTGATGCTGGAGAAGTTGGTACATTCCAATGACTCTGCCTAACTAACTTGCTCTGACTAAGAAACCTACTTGGATGACCAGTAAAATGTCTCTAACAAGAAAATAAGCCCAATAAGTCAAATTCAACTTTACCTGGATGACTGAGAATTTTTATCAACATCCTTCTGAAGCATTCTGGCTTACTTGCTCAGTGATCCTTATATGATGTGTACTTATCAGTAGATTGTGAAACTGGAGGGGAGATGAATTGTTCAGATCACTTTTTTTACATACCCTATATCAATTTTATTCATATAGAATCTCCCCCCAAAAACTGGGGAGGGAAATAAGGAGAGTGAACTCAAAATACATGTATTTGTCTAAAGAATTACTAATGCCTATCTCATCACTATATTTTAAAAGCTCTTGAAACTTCTGATGTCTGCATCTGTATCTGGAGCCACATTATATTAATAGCCCATCTTTTCTCCATTTCTCAGAAGGCATCAGAGAAGCATTTAGCTGCTCTGGGCTGAGACTGAAAAAATTAAATAGGCTCAGATCAATTAGTCCTTGAATAGGAGACCACTGACAACACTAGGAAATCCCCAGTCTTATAGTCATAAGATTGGGAAGTTTAAAAACATCTTGGAAGAAGGCAACAACAAAGAACTTTCATAGTGTTGACATCCTTCAAGAAAATCCTATTACACCCCACACAGAGTGTCTATGAAATTGAAAGGACATATTGACACGAATCAATCTAACCTTTGCTCTTTGCTTCTGTTAAAGAAGTTGCTTGTACTATTTTGCTATGGTTAGGAATCGTTTGTTAGGAATTCATTCTGTAAGAGAATTGTATCCTTTTCTATCTGGTTTCTTGCTTCTGTCATTTGTTTCAGAGCTAGGCACATCCTTGGAGACCGTTCCCAGGAACATCCTGCTCCATAGATAAAGGGGGGCTGCCTAGGACAAGGACAAGGGATACTCTGTAAGATAGTAAAACATGGACAGAGACAGGGGGCCTGAACAAAGAAAGATCACGTTGGTGACAAACCTTTGTCTGATTGGATAAACTTTGTTTCTATCGATGTAAAATGTATATAATACTCTGAGCCACTCTTGCAGGGTGTGGCTATTCCTTACATGGATTTTGTCTGTATTGGATATAGTATTCACCCAGAGTTTTTACTTTGGCCAAAGAATAAAAAGTTGATTTTTTTAATTTATTTTTTTGCAAACCTCGTCTTGAGTCTCACTCTCTTTGGCATCTCAGTGGCTCAGGGAAACTTCTGGGACTTTCCTTGATTCAGGAATCAAGCTTGATTTGAAGAAACCATTACGTTTGTTTCTTTCTCCAGGAGCTCAAGGCAACATAAACAGCACTTATTCTCCTTCAATTTTTCCCCAAAACTATATGTGTTAGTCTTGGCTGAATGATAGTGACTGGCCCAAAGCCAGTAAGCTTCCATGTCTGAGAATTACTACCTGGTCTTCCCAGTAAAAGTCCAATGCCTTAGCCATTAAACATATTGTCCTCTCAATGGCTTGTTTTATTTCTTTGTTTGATTGTATGCATGGCTGACAATACTCAATAGTCTTCTCTTTGTGGTTAAATGTTCAACAAAAACATTTAAAAATATATTTCCAGATCACCTATACTCTCCAAACACTTCCAAGCTTAGTATACTTTGATTTATTACCAAAACCAGAGAAAGTGAATTTTTTATAAATGGCCTACCTCATTCTGAAAATAAACTAATGGGATAATAATTAAGTGGCTCAGAAGGAAATAGCCATACCACATCAAGGAAGTTCTCTTGATGAACAAGTGATAATGTAGGTGTTTGTTTTTTTTAAATAGAATAATCCCATAGGATAAAGAGAAAACTAATGGCAGAGGAAACATCATTTTCTAAATTAGCTAGTTCAAGGCTGGCCAAAGCAGTTATTGGCTTGTCTTTCCTCTATCACTGGAAGCAGCTTCAGCTGCAGGGTCACAGTTTTCAACTTTGAGTTACAGCCCTAGCTCCACCAACACAGACTGGCATCATAACTACCTCTAGTTGCTAGAAAAGCCCTTCAACCATATCTTACAATCTGCTGAAGACCATCTGAAAGGCTACAAAGGTACCTTATGGCTAGAATGTCATGTGGCCCTTCACAGCTTTTTCATCATACTGCTGAAAATATCCTAATTTTATTAGCAAATGTTGGACTTTATTGACCGTTTTAAAAGGTTTCCTTTTTCACATTTGTCAACTGGTCCTGTCCACAATTGATATTATTTTCTGGCACACAGTAAACAATTTTGTGCCACAAGCAGGACATATGGCCCCCAACAAGATGCATAGAGGAAGGTGCAATGTATGAACCTCTAGATCAGTGGTTCCCAACCTTTTTTGGCCATGCCCCACCTAAGCATCTCTAAAATCCTGATGCCCCCCCTGTGACATATAATTCTTACTTTACTCAAAAAGTGAACTCTACTCACACGGAGGAAGCCCAAAAGGCCATTACCTTGGTTTAAACAAGGTTCAAATTGTGCCCATTAAAAATAAAATTGCCCCCCTGTGGGACATGGGCCCCACATTGGGAACCACTGCTCTAGATCATTTCACTGGTTTTCCTAAATGAATCCTCCCAGGCTCCCTTCCGCAAATAGTTAAATCAGAAGTAAAAACTATTGGAAGCAAGACATAAGCAAGTTTAAAATGGAACATTATTCTTGTGTCCCCAGAGTGAGTGAGATCATGATTCAGAAGCACTTGGGGAAAGAATAAATTATTTTCAGCAATTCATAGTTCCAACAAGTATACAACAGCAAGAAGCAGAATTTCATAGCAAGGTTAAAATGAGAAGACCTGTTCTCTCCATTCTTGCCTGTTCCAAGGTACTTTCCCTTTTTATCTATGGCATCTGATACTATTTCCTCTATTAATCAGTTGCACTGGGTGATGGCTATGCACGTTCAGAAAGGATTGTTTCTTACAGGAGAGAAGGTATCCAAGAATCAACTTTCCCCACTGCCTCCTATATATTTCTGAATTACATTCCATGCTGGAGCGACTTTTCAAAGGGAGAAGAGCACCAATGAAGGGGAAAGATAACTGAAAATTGGAGGGCGCATCTTTTGTGAATCAGAATGCTTCCTATTATTTCAGTTTTAACACAAATTGTAAATAGTTATAATGATGCATGCATCTTATGAAATGTACAGCTGAAAAAATTATCTGACTTTAAATAGCAGGGAAGAGATTTAAATTAGAGTGGGGGAACAGATTTGTTACTGATATAAAGGAGGGCTGAAAGAGGAAAATAATAGCTTACAGTATTCAGATTTGTAGCTATCAGGAACAGGATGAGTATTTAGGAAACAAACATCTGAAATTATAATCCTGAATAAATAACTAGATTTGGCAGTGGCTGGGCTACAGGAGAAAGAGGGAAATATTGAATTTCATGTTAGTATGATAATTGAAGTAATCAGGAAAACAGTTTATAGCCTGTTATTTTTAAATATTTGCTATTTTTAAAAATGTGCTTCTCTCTAGTTTCAGTGGTGTCATCTGATAAAATCAAAGACTGGCATGCAAACCTTTCATCAAAGAAATGTCTGAAGGAAATGTCTCTATGGGAAGTGATTTTATTCTTATGGGCTTTACAGATCAGTATACTTTTCAAATATTGTCTTTTTTGTTTTTCTCAGCTGTTTATATTTTTACCATTGTTGGAAATCTTGGCATGATTTTATTAATCAGGATTGACTCCCGACTCCATACGCCTATGTACTTCTTCCTGAGTCATCTTTCTCTTTTAGACATGTGCTATTCTTCTACAATTGTTCCTAAAACTCTGGTGAATTTCTTAGCAGGCAGAAAGACCATTTCATTTGCTGGATGCACCACTCAGTTATTCTTCTTTGCAGCTTGTGCTACCACTGAGAGCTACCTGCTGGCTGCCATGGCCTATGATCGTTACGTTGCAGTTTGCAAGCCTCTGCTTTACACAGTTGTCATGTCACAGAAAGTTTGTGAAGGGTTGCTGGCTGGGGCATATGTCATAGGTGTGATGAGCTCAGCTATACATACCATCTCTATATTTCGTCTCCCATTCTGTCATTCTCATAAGATCAACCACTTTTTCTGCGATGGGCCCCCACTCCTAACCCTAGCCTGCTCAGACACTCATTTCAATGAGAGACTTCTTTTTGCTGTGGTTGGGTTCAACATCTTGATCAGCACTGCAGTCATTCTAGCATCCTATTTATCTGTCCTCACCACTGTGCTGACTATCCACTCTACTGAAGGCAGGTGCAAAGCCTTCTCCACCTGTGCTTCCCACTTGGCCACTGTTACATTGTTCTATGGAAGTTCCCTTTTCATGTATTCACGGCCAAGCTCAAGCTATTCCTTGGATCAGGACAAGGTGGTTTCTGTGTTGTACTCAGTTACAATCCCCATGCTTAACCCACTAATTTACAGCATGAGGAACAAAGAAGTGAAGGATGCTCTTAGAAGAACAAGAGGCAGATTCCATTCTTCATGGTGCCAATGGCACCAAGTAGTGCAATCTCAGCAAATACAGTACAGATAAATCTTTTTTTTTCCCCAAAAAAATAAATGGGCAGAGTAGTTAACCAAAAGTTTGAGGGGATGGGAAGAATATGGGGAAGATGTCCTTGAAGGTCGACTTTAATATCTTTGAAATTCCACCCTTTCAAACAGCCATGTTTCTATTTTGATCTGCTTTTGACTTAGTTCAGCAACATTGGTGCAATTCTTGTTGACCTCTGTTGTATAGGATTCCCTGTTAAATTTACAGAACAGTGTAACCTCAGTCTGTATGACAAAGCCCCTACAAAATTAATGTCTCATTTTAAATTAACTGAAATTTTGCTGGAGTTTTGTAGAATATAAATATAGTCTGTGAAGACTCTTTTTGCAAGATGGGACAAAGTAAAAGAGAATTTGTATGAGGCTTAAATGTATTCCCTACAGAATTGAAGAAATACCGACATACTATATAAATACAGCTTGTAATTTATAATCTGGAACTTCACTATCAAGGAAGCCATGAAGTAAACAGCTGCTTCTCAAATGTCCAATCATTTGAACATTTTTATTAAATATCCTAATCATTGTAAATAATAATTTAAAAATACCAACATCAAAGTGTACATATTTCAAATGTTATGAAACTATATGGCTTAAACTAGGCAGGATAACAGTTAGAAGGGTGATAATTAGAAACACAACCTGTCATATCTCATTAAAAAGAGGGGGAGAAAGAGGCGGAAAGGAGAGAGAAAAGAAAACTTCAAAACTTCTAGTGTTTTGCTTTTTTAAAAACATTACATCTCTTGAGTTAGTAAGTTAAATTACTAATTTAAATTATGGCTCCCATAAGAATACTGACTGAAAGTATTTAAAGCACTAGTTAATAGCAGGGAGAAATGATTCTCAGATTGGTCTCAGAAAATAAATGGGACCTTGAGATGAGTAAGCTTAGCCAAACCTACTAGGAACACTGGGTGTTAGGTTATTACCAAGAGGGATTAACCAGGCATCATAATAACATCACTGAAGCAATGGATTTGGAGCTATCTAACAGGTAAACCCATTGTCCAGTTAATATCTTCCTGGTCCTAAAGATGGGAAGTGTTATTGTCACTCATGTTAGATAGATTTCTGTTTTTTCCATTTGCTCATTCGTATGTTCAGAATACGGAAGGTAGCTAAGGCAGGAATGCTGGATGCACTATGTGTAAACAGTATACCAGATGACAATATCTAAATAAGGAAGAAGAAAAATTACCACCAACTGTATGACTGGGCTATTTGTGTAATGACTTGTGTTTGTACATGCACACTTTAACAGCCAAAATAAACAATGTTGGAATATATATATATATATATATATATATATATATATATATATATTATATTATATATATATATATATATATATATATATATATATATACACACACACACATACAACACACACACACACACACACACACATACATACATACACATAACTTTTTGCAAAAGAGAGGTCTTTGCAATTCTGTTCTATATTCTCAGGATTCCCTAACCTATTGCAAAACTGTTCCATTTAATGGAACAGAAATTAATGGAGAAATCCATCCATACAAAAAATGTTCCTATTCTTTTTGTGGCATAAATAATACTGTCTGAACCTACCCAATGCAGTTATTCTGTGCAATTAGGTTTTACAAATGACTTCCAGGAGAAAAAGCACCTTTCTACTAACTAATCCAAAATTCAGAAGGAAACATATACTGTAATAATATATATATGCTAAAATGCAGAAGTACTATCTTTCTTTATTCAGGAGCAATCAGAGAATGGTGTGCATAACTACAGTATGTACATTCTCTTCCCATGGATGCATAGGTGATGCATCCACACCGCCATATAATACATATAATGCAATAGGCTGATGGAAGGAAGTTTCTGGATCCAACCTTTCCCTTTTACAGTTTAGGATCTTTTCCAAGCCTATGAGCAAGGGACAGATTTTCCCTATTCCTACCAGTTTAAAATATTGTCTGTGGTATTGGAACATTTATGAAATGAGTTTTACAAAATCAAGATAAATGTGTCCACATCTGGAAATATTTACGAGCAATAATTAGCACTGACAGTTCTAGAATATATATGCTAATAATCTTTTCTAAGGAAAAGGGAAATCGATAGGCCATTGTTTCATGAAAGACTGCTTAAGTGATTTCTACTTAAGAAATCATACAACACGGACACTTGAATGCATCTTCCAGAAGGAGATATGGTGATCATGCATGTACCATCTTTCATTGCATATGATGAGAATTGTGCTAAGCTCCTTATGAAATAGATATTGCTTAAAAACTGGTTTGTCTGTGTTATTAATAACTGCATTTTAAACTGCCTGGAATAAAAATTGAAAAAGAAATTCATAAAATAATATATTGCTGCATATTACAAACAAAGGTACCTACAGCTCATGATTATTATTAAACTTTAATAATATTTTACAAATACGCAAACTGTTAAAATATACCTGACTTTACAATGATATTGATTTTATATTTGCAGATTCAGAAAGACTCATAAACATTATTGTCTCTATACTCTAAAGTGACAAATTAGGATCTATTGGCAAACAAGAACAACAAACACCTCCCAAAACTCCATCCCAAATCCTACATCATCAACAGAGAAACTGATTCTTAAATATGATACTATTTAAGAATCAGTTTCTCTGTTGATGATGTAGAATTTGGGATGGAGTTTTGGGAGGTGTTTGTTGTTCTTGTTTGGTTTTCATTATTATTATTTAAATAAAATGCTTATTTATAACTTTGGAAGGTACATGAAGATCCATATCTATTCTCCATGAACATCACAAGAACCATTCAGAAACGGAGATGTCTATTGAAAATTACACTGCAGTGTCCGAATTCATCCTCCTGGGTTTTGCAGAAAATCCCAAACTGAAAGTTCCAATTTTTATATTTTTCTTACTAATCTATTTTATCACAGTGGTAAGTAATTTGGGCATGATTTTGCTGATCAGAATGGACACTCAGCTTCATACACCCATGTACTTTTTCCTCAGTAACTTGGCTTTCATAGATTTTTGTTATTCCTCCAATATTATCCCCAAAGCCTTGGAAAATTTCCTGGCAGAGAAGAAAACAATTTCCTTTGCAGGATGCATCATCCAGATTTATTTCTTTGTTGCTCTCGCAAGTACAGAAATCATTCTTTTTGGGTTGATGGCATATGACCGTTACGTGGCCATCTGCAACCCTTTGCTGTATCCTTCCCTCATGTCCCATGCCCAATGCTTCAAAATGGCAGGAGGAGCCTTCACAGCTGGCTTCTTGAACTCCATTATTCATACCACTCTGGTAGGTACTTTATCTTTCTGCCACTCTAATGAAATCAACCATTTCTTCTGCGAAATCCCCCAACTCCTCAAACTCTCGTGTTCCAAAACCTTTTTAACTGAAATACTTATTTTTGTTTGTGCTGGAATTAATATGCTGGGCTCTCTCCTGATAATACTGAGCTCATATATACATATCCTTGCCACAATATTTAAGATGAATTCAGTGGTTGGCCGTCAAAAAGCTTTCTCTACTTGTATTTCTCATTTGATTGCGGTCTTCATATTTTATGGAACAGGCCTCTTTATATACTTGCAACCCAGTTCAAACTATTCAGAGGATCAGAATAAAACTGTTTCTTTGTTTTATGCCTTCATCATCCCAATGCTGAACCCTTTAATCTACAGTCTGAGAAACAAGGAGGTGAAGGATTCACTGAAGAGAACAATGGATAGAAATCTATTTTTGCATTTGAAATAATTATTAAGTCGAGAAGATTTCAGCCCACCTAGATATGCTCCTCAATTTATATTTTACTGTGTAACAGTTGTATTATACTTTGAAACTGTAAAAATACTTTAAATATTGTCAACACTTCTAAAATATTGTAATTTATTATTAAAATGGTAAATAAATGTAATGGCCTTTTACAATAGAAAGTATCATGAGAGGAAAAAATTGATGGAGAATGGTTGAAGGTAGTGTGTTTGCATATCCCAATGAAGAAAAGATACTATGTTCTAGCATCTCAAGGGTTATCATATAGAAAATGGCCCAAAATTATTCAGAGCTGTCCATGAAGATGGGACAAGAAACTATGTGTTTAGATTATAAGGAAGCAGATTTCAGTTGGACATCAAGAAAAAATTCTTAAGGCCTTTTCAGTAATAGAAGCAACTACATCAGAAGATGGTAGAACCTCCCTCCTTAAAAATGTTTAAACGCATCCTGAATAATCATCTGTTGGTAATGCAAAACTACTTGATTCCTGCATTGGGCACATACAGACCTCTGCAAGATGTTCTACTAGGTGTCCAACATTGGCAGATGTGTGTAGCCAATGATGGTGATCATGTAAAAACGTAAACACAAATAACAAAATAGCTAATTACAAGAATTATTTTCTTGCTTCATTTTTTAAAATATCCCCATTTAAAGCAAATTTATGAAGATAAAGGTAAGACTTTTCATTCAACCTTCAATGGCAATTTGGAAGATAATAATACTTAATTCATTGAATAGTGACAATCAATATAAAATTAGAGTAGATAGTTAGCCACTTACCATGATCCTTTGGGTAATCAATTCAAAAACTAAAGAGGGAACTTTTGACTATCATATGAGTCAGCTGATGAATTGGAACTGTTCCCTCTGGGAAGTCTGTAGAAATAGCCTCCTTCTGGCCATTAAAAATCCAAACTTTTTGCAAACTATTTTCTAGCTGTTTAATAACACCAAATTCTGCAGAGAGATTGGATCATGATTCATGTTATCCCCAGTCACCACAAATTTTGAACTCCCATGCAGGTTTTTTTTTTTTAAAGATATTTAAGGGATCCAAGGAAGGAAGCAATAGCAGTTTTGTTAACTTGCTGCTTCAGCATAACATCAGCTGTGCACTGGAAGGGGTACTGTGACAAGTTCATATGATAGATTAAGGGTGCAAATACAATCTTTGAGACACAAAAAGAAAGTGCTTCTGGAAATATGATGAGACATTTCTATTATCACGCAAGTTACCTCCTGCTCATACAGGTAGGTGGTCTATGATCACAATTGGTCAAGCGATTCATTCATCATTATTCATGTTATATGCCTGAGAATGAGAGGGAGAGGGAGAGAAAATAGGGAGATACAGGAAATGATCTCTGTGATACAGCCTAATTGTTTTATATCAGTTGAATATATGCAAGTGATGCAAGAGATATTAACACAATTTTGGGGTGAGAATGATGAATTTGATGACTGCTGCATATGTACATTTGAATAGGGGGTATTTGTGTGAAAGTGCAGTATATTTGTGAATGGGGAATGTTTCTTCTTCTTCTTCTTCCTCTTCCTCTTCCTCTTCTTCTTCTTCTTCTTCTTCTTCCTCATTACAGTTATTCTCAACAGAATAGTGGAATTGTTGGATTATCTTCATTATCTTTCAGTGTTCTTGAATCTCTCTCATAATCCAGGCATAACCAAGAGTTTGTTTCTGAGACTTAAACAGTGACATATACTACCACCATGTCCTCATGTGACAATTATAGAAAGAAACTGTTCTACTCTTTTGCAAAGCTGCCCCAAATATCTAAATTAATTCTTACACAGCAAAATGCAGAACTTTAATCAGCTTCTCAGGGTTGCTTCTGTAAGTAATCTCTATTTAAGCTGCCTTTTTTTGGAGGAAAGGCAGAATGTAATAAAATAAACAAATATATGAACTCCAGGCATTTGGTGAAATGGAATTTGAGCCAAGAAAGCTGTATTAATAAACCTTTAAGGTATTAGGTGACTTTTCAATATTCCTTGAAACTTCTTTGAACCACAGAGAAAGTCTCACCTGTTCTGAGAAGACTGAGGAGGTATCTTCTGTTCTGGAGGATACCTGATTGGTTTGTGTGTTGGACATGTGAGTGATGGGCAAGGACTTGAACTTTCTCTTGGGTGAGGAAAACCCGGAAGCTCTCAGATTTGGGTTTTCCCAGATGTGCCAATATGGGATCTCTAATAAGAATTAGCTTTGAGGAACTTCAAACCTTGGAGTTTGATTTCGTTGGGGGTGTTACTTGGAACCCTGACATTGTGGTTCTTCTACAAACCAACAGAGGAGGACTTTTCTCCCATCCCATAATTCCATGGGACATCAATATCCTTTTGAGAAGAGCAGTGGGTACAGGCTGCCTATTAAGGCTGCCCTGCCTTTTCAGAATTTCTCTTTCTCCTAGCTGGGCCCTTAGAAATCACCCTTGTCAGGCTTATCTTCATTTTTTCCCTGATTTAAATGAGGAAGGGGAGGAATAATGTTTGCAAAAACCTGGATTCTTTATGAATCTTAAAAAGAAAATCATTTTCCTCAGCAAACAGTAACTTTTAGAATGCTTTTGAATTTCAGCATAATATGAAGCAACAATAGAAGCAAGGAAAAATGGCCTGAAGTTTTTCTATTTTTTTCCATATTCCTGGGTAGATTCAGATTTAGGCATAAACTAAACATGCTACAGGTTAGGACTTCACATCCTGAGATGTGTATTCATGGGAGGGGGGGGAAAGCCATTTGTTACAGTCTCATATATGAAAGTAAATTAAGTCCTCCCGTACTGTATGCTGCTCACACAGCTCTCATTAGTTTATTCAGATATGCTTTGCTTCTCTGTGCATTTATAACTTTTATTCAAAGAGGGTCCTTCCCCACCCCAGGGCTTTTGAAGCTTGACAGCAGTCTTGCTATTTTATGTTGAGCCTTCAAAACACTCTTGACTCCTGGTGAACTAGTCTCTGCAATTTTCTGGCTAAGATTTCAGAAGTGGTTTGCCCCTGTCTCCTTCCCTGGTTTGAGAGAAGAGATTGACTGGCTCAAAGTCACTCAGTTGTGTTTGTGCCTAAGGCGAGACTAGAATTCATGGTGTATATCGTCCCCCCCCTTTGTAGCCTCATGCCTTAACCAATACACAAAACTGTCCCTCTTATCTTCTATTATCACTAGCAAATATCACCACTACAGCTTCCTGAAGTTTAGGGTCTCCTAAACCATGGCTACATCCAGCAATGTAGCTGTTAGTACTTCTGCCCCAAGGATGTACTGTTCTGAAGCAGAGGACTAGTTGGGGGACAATGTTGTTGTTGTTGTTATTATTCTGGATGAATGAAAAATGACTGAAAAGAAGCAAGCAAGCAAGCAAACAAACAAAAAACCACTAGCAAATTTAACAACTCAGTTGACTTTAGTTCTCTTTTGGTGCATTTCAGCTGCTCCTCACAAATGATCAAATATCAGTTCTAACGATCAATAAACTCAGATGTTTAAAAGATGCATCTAAGCATCACAAACTTCCTGGCTGCTCAGAGAACCAAACCAATGTGGCCATTTAGTACCAGGAATTTTATATCCCATGGAGCTAAGAGAAATGATATGTTCTTCCTGGGGATAAAAACAGCTGTAAAAAATAATTCCCGTAACTCGAATTATTCCCGAAATATTAATTTTCAACCTGCTCTAACTAAACTTTTTTCCTAGTTTTTTTCCAACATGTAATCAGACAATTGTATGGGGCTATTGCTATCACTGATTTATTAAAACATATCAATAAACTTGTACTGCTACTCAATTATCTTGAGATGCCTCTTTAATTCTTGCAGTCTCACTGAATTAGTTTTTCTAAAAGTTTCAATAGGGAAAAAAAACACTTTTGGCTTGTGTGTCCTTTGTTGGACAGACATCACAATTATACAACTCATTGAATAGCCTTGCTGCATCAGATATCAAATTGTTTGGACTCTCTGTAGTCACTGAAAATAAAACAACTGCATTCTTAGAATACAAGCTGAAGTTATATTTATTAATATTAAAGCAAGATATAGTGATATCCATGGGGGTGCATCATGAAATGAGTAACCAGATGTTGCAACACAAACTCTGCCCCTTGTATGTGTAGTGACATCACATGAAACGGACATAACTTGGATTGTGATGTTGTGTCATTCATTTTTTCAGTCACATGAAATTGTCAAATTCTATAGTCACAGTGGAGTACTGTATGTAGATTTTTATTTATAACCTCTTTACACCATATAATGAGATTTATTTTACATTATGTTTTTCAGGAAATAAAAGAATAAAAGTATTTGTTCTACAAAATGAAAGAAACAGCTGAGTTATTCCACAGCTTTTTTTACATTATTGCTTCTGATGTCTAACGTGCATGGAGACCCATAATCAGAAACAAGACAAGATAAATTCAGCCACAGAGATGTTTGGAGAAAATCACACAGCAGTATCTGAATTCATCTTCCTTGAATTTGCAGAACAACCAGAAATGAAAGTTCCTCTTTTCATGTTTTTCCTCCTGGTCTATGTTATCACAATAGTAGGTAACTTGGGCATGATTTTGCTGATCAGCATGGACCTTCAGCTTCATACACCCATGTACTTTTTCCTCAGCAACTTGGCTTTCATAGATTTTTGTTATTCTTCTACCACTCTTCCCAAGATTTTGGCAATTTTCCTATCAAGAAGGAAAACCATTTCCTTCACAGGATGCTTCATTCAAATGTATTTCTTTCTTGCTCTTGCCAGTACTGAGTGCTTTCTTTTGGGGTTGATGGCATATGACCGTTACGTGGCCATCTGCAATCCTTTGCTGTATCCATCTCTCATGTCCCATGCCCAATGCCTCAAAATGGCAGGAGGAGCCTTCATAGCTGGCTTCCTGAATTCCATTATTCATACCACCCTGATAGGGACTTTGTCTTTCTGCCAGTCCAATGAAATCAATCATTTTTTCTGTGATCTCCCACCACTCCTCAAGCTCTCATGCTCAGACACTCTTGCCCCTAAAATATATGGTTTCACTGGTGCTGGAACCATCATTTTGATAAATTTTCTAATTATCCTCATCTCCTACATATGCATCTTTTCAACGGTGCTCAAGGTTAAGTCATTGGGAGGTCAGCAAAAAGCCATCTCTACCTGCCTCTCCCATCTGGTTGTTGTGACCATGTTTTATGGAACAGGTTTGTTTGTTTATTTGCAACCCAGTTCAAACTATTCTGAACGTCAGCATAAAATTATGGCTGTACTGTATGCCTTCCTCATCCCTATGCTAAATCCCTTGATCTACAGCTTGAGGAACAAGGAGGTAAAGGATGCCCTGATAAGAGCAATGAATAAGAATGTTTCACATGTAAGATAAACATTTTCATCTGCAGACTTCAGTGAATAGGAATTCAGTTCCATAAAGTGCCAGGAATTGTGCCCTAATTCTGTGGAATATTTAAATGGATGTTTTGTGTTAAGTGAGACATTTGAATGTTCGCTCAGCTGTTTATTATTGTCAAGAACCTGAACTAAGCTGAATTAAAACAAAGTTCTTTATTATTTAAATTGGGGATAAAGAACATTTCTGAGGCTAGAAGCCATTCTTTAAAATAATCTCTCATCTCGAAGAATATAATAAAATGACACAGTGGTATTTTAGCCTTTTTTGTTTGTTTTCTTTTGTGTGCATATCATGGAATTGGGAAGTCTAATAGTAACCCACCTCCAGTCACATGTCACAATGCCAGTTTTTCACCCCAACTCCAGAAGAAATTTCCATATTAGATGGAAAGGAAGTAGGCAGGAAGATAGAGAGGGAGAAAATAAGCAGCAGAAGAAAAAAGATTCCGAATCCTGTCGCTTGGTGTGCTAAATTTGTATTACTGGGGATTTTTAAACACCAGGCTCATTCAACATGAAGTCTTCCACTTGCTATCCGAAATTGTCTTGAACGTGATCATATTTTAACTGTGATAGCTTCGGGTTTTTTAAAACTTCAAGAAATTTTAGTATTACTGAATCTGGGGTCATTTCAAAAAGAATGTAAAATCATTCTGTCACAGATTTCTATGGAAACCAGTTTACAAAACCTAGTTGCAGGCAAAAACTAGTAGTGGGTAGGTTGGAGGTGAAAAAAGACCCCTTTAATCCTAGGAAAACTATATCCTAAAAGCTTATCTCAAGAATAACATCACAGAAATCTGTATTTAAAAAATTTCCTTCAGGAATTTATATTAATGGCTATGCCGTTTAGAGAAAGCTGTGTACAAAGTTTTGTGTGCTAGAAAAATTACATATAAAAGAGGATGCATATTCTTAAAATGGATTTTTAAAAATCGTTAAAAGATCAATGAGTCAAATACCTATTTTATATTACTGTTATATAAAAAAAAATTAAAATGTTGGAGATAGGAATCCAATGACACTGATTCATAACTGAATGACCGCAAGATATATAGATTGTTCAATATACACTGTTTGTACTCTCTTGGCACAACACTTTGCTTTCTTTTTGTCTGTGAGATTGGGAGGTCACTTCCTTCTCCCTTTCTTCCTAGTAAAGAGTAGAAGCTCCTTGACTCTTCTTCTGATAGGACACAGTGGGCTTTTTCTATACTTGCATTGCATTTGTTGTAAATACACTCCTCCTTTCCACCAAGTTTATTGCCTAGGTCAGATTCCACTCACATATACATCCACAACTTCCAAAAATGATCCTGTCTTTTCTATGACTATTTGAGGTTTGTGTGGGAAGTCAAGCCCAAAAGGAAAAAACAAGACAGGTCTCTTGGAGAAGAGAACATTTTAAGGCTCCATCTGCTCAATCAAAGGATTGAAAAGGGATGTATTCAGGATCTGGAGGAACAAGTTGGATTGTGATTGCTGCAAAGCCAAGGGAATGTAATTGTGCTGAGAATTCATCCTGTGAGGATGAGGAAATGCTGATTTCCAAACACAGAACAATAAATTAACCCTAACCCCTGATGACTCCTCATCAGGGTCTCCCAATAAATTTAAAAGCAACTTTAATGAATCCAAGTTTTTACTGATCTGCAGGCTCTTGTTTACAAAACTTTCAAATAGTTGCTGAATCTCAGAAGTATATAAATAAAGAACCCTCTTTGGGGCATAATTATTCCATGCCAAGAATGTTTAAGGTTGTTTTGCAGGATTATTGGCATCAACCAAGAAACAATTTCCAAATTGTCCTCTATTACTAATTGTCTACCAATTAGTAATTGTAATAGTAATTACAATAGTAATAGTAATTAGTAATTGTCTACTAATTGTCCACTACTCACCTTTTTATATTTCTAAAATCTAATTAGTTCAAAGTCCATGCTAAATCTCCTGATCCTAAGAAATTGCCAGGCTGAACTTCTTTATTATAAAAAAAAAATTGGTTTGAAGAAGTTCTTTATTGAAGGCATTAGGCAAGGAGAATCCTAAAACCTAATGTATATAAATCTCTTGGGCTGAACTTAGCACCTGCTAAACTATAAAACTTGGCCTGATATCCTTTTTTTCTTCTTTAGAGAAATCTTTCTAGATGGGATGTGGCTACTTCTTTTTTTACCTATTTCAAGCATTATAATGATACAATAGTCCTTTTTTATTTTTTATCATCCAATCATGAATTACGCCCTCAGAGCTGATGTATTATAATGCATCACCCCAGAGATTTCATAGAAATAGCTGTTCATATCCCGCATCTTCATGAGCAAGCAGTTGTCCTTTCTTCATTCAACTGAGAATGAAGAATGCCAAATATTTCATACTCATCAGAATGGCCAGCAAAAGGCCAGCTCACCTGGGATACTTCATCTACATAGGAGTTCAACCCTATGATTACCAGCCCACACTTGTATTCAACCTGTTTATTAGAATTGTGCTTTGGTTGGGAGTGAACCCCAAATTCAGGCAAGGGAAGACAATTTGGGATAGTTGTGTTCAGAGGGGACTAGACAAGCAGCTCCAATACAGTCTGCCTGATTTAAAAATCCCTTATTAGAACTCTGCTCTAAATTTGTCTGTTACTATTGTGAACTTTTGCTTGAACAAAAGCCTGGGAGTGAAAAAGAAGGAGGGGAAATATTGGATATCGTGACTGACAAAGAATTCTTAAATCACGCTCAATTGTTAGAATTATAGAACTGTAGAGTTGGAAGAAGTCCATAAGGATCACTGAGCCAACCCTCTGCAATGATCAAATCAACCCAGTGTTTCTCATTTGCTGAGACACAGATGACCAGGCTCAGATTATCCTACTTTAGGTACTTAATCTGGTACTTGATACAAAGGACTAGCTTCTTTGGAAAAAGTGAAAAAGCAGAAGATGATCACCAGCAGTAAATTAAATGGAGTCAGTTGCAGTGGTAATGGGTGCTGTTGGAAGATCTGAAGGACCAGGTTAGGGACAGATCATCCTGGAGAAAATCTATCTAACTGGCTACAGTGAGTGGACATAAACCTGATGGTGCATAATCACTCAATAGAATTTCCTGAGAGCAACAATTCATTAGCATATTTACTGCTGAAGGGGAAAGCATCATAATCTTTTCAGGCACATTTTGTTTTCTAGTAGTTTTTTTGAACAGTCAAAAAAACTACTAGATTCTCTTCCATCTGTCTGTCTGAGATATATTGTATACACAAATCATCTTTGGATTATATAATATTTTAATTAAGAAAGATACAACTAACCTTATCTCTTTCCAAATAAATAAAACTATTTTCACCTGTAGCTATGTTCAGAGTATTATTATTTTTTCTTGAACAAATCTTTCAAAAGAGATTTGGAGGCATCTGATGAGAATTGACTAGCAGTATCTACAAGCAATATCTCAGCTTTGTACTCCAAGTGTGTGTGTTTTCCAACATTCAACACATTTATTTATTAAAATTTTATAGCTTTCTGATACTCAGAGTTCTCTAGCCAGTTTACAAGAAAATTTGCTAAAACTACAATTTGATACAATGCAATCAATAAAATACAAAACAAAGAAACCATATGAATTAGGCTGAAGCAAGACAGCCATCGGAATTTGAAACTATATGAATTAAAATACAATTAAAATATGACTGAAGAGCTGGGGAAATGAAGGAGTCTTTGCAGTCTAATATGGCTACAGGCAAGCCTCTCTGGGGAAGGTATTCTGTCAATGGGGAGCCACCTCAGGCAAAGCTCTCTCTCCCTTGCAGAGACTTAGAGAAAGGGGGTGAGGCCTACATTACAACATCGCAGTCAATTTTATCCTACTTGCCCTCCTATGGATGTTTGTTTGTTTATTTATTTATTTGTTTGTTTGTTTGTTTGTTAGTTTGTCAACAAGTACAAGGAAAGAAGTAACGGTATAGACATAGACATGGACACTTGAAAAAAAATTGGCACAAATAAAAGGAAATAAATAAGCAAAACATAGCCATAAACACATAAAATGAGTACATATAAATGGGAACAGTAAGACAGGGACGGTAGGCACGCTGGTGCACTTAGGGACCTCTTAAAAAACATGAAAGGTCCACAGTAGACAGTTTAGGGTAAAAGGTATGGGGATTAGAGAGACTAACAACAGGATCAGGTAGAGTGTTCCAGACATTTACTACTCTATTGCAAAGTCATATTTCCTACAATCAAGATTAGAGTGAATTACATTGAGTTTGAATCTATTGATAGCCCTTGTGTTATTGCAGTTGAAATTAAAGTACTCATTTACAGGTAGGACATTTTGGTAACTAATCTTATGAACTAAGCATAGGTCGGAATGTAGGCGGCGTAGTTTGAGGCTATCAAGGCCTAAAATTTCAAGCCTGGTGATATAGGGAATTTTATTTTGAGCAGAGGATTTGAGTACTCTTCTAGTAAAATATCTCTGGACCCTTTCTAATGTTTTTGAACTTGAAAGTTAAAGTTAAAGGTAAAGGTTCCCCTCGCACATACGTGCTAGTCGTTCCCGACTCCAGGGTGGTGCTCATCTCTGTTTCAAAACCGAAGAACCAGCGCTGTCCGAAGATGTCTCCGTGGTCAAGTGATCAGCATTACTAAACACCAAAGGCACACGGAACGCTGTTCGCTTCCCACCAACTTGAAAATTAAAATAATTCAAAGATTGAATTTGATCATTTAATTCAAGGGTGTGTACATTTCAAGGGAATCTTCTTCCGACTGAATCAACCTTCTGAAGTTCTGCAAAGCCTACAGCCTGATGTGTCTGAGCATATGCCAGCATTCTTTGCATATATTTGTGAATGTTTTTTTTTTGACAATATAGTTTTTAACGGTAGCCAAAATTGAGCAACAATTTATGCTGCTCTACATTGTTATGAGAATGTAGGTACACGCACCGCCTCTGGAAAAATAAAACTGCAAGTTTTTACAAAGTAGACAATCCATATGTTTTGCCCCCAAAGCATAGTTTAATTGATTGTTCTGCACATTTAACAAACTTTCCTTGCTTAACCACTTTAAGCTACTCCAGGGATCCTGGTCTCTGGTGTCAGAATGATGAATTCAAAACTTTTAAAAGCAGCCGTTTCTGCAACAAAGAAGCATACTGTTTCCACCCTGCCTCCCTGGTAAGTCAAAACCATTAGAGCAGAAACAGAATCTGAAGACGGTGCTCTGAATGTATTATGGCCAGTGGTATATTAGGAATTGGTGATGATGTTCCTTGAGAAAGGATGTGGATGTTTCAGACTGGCATTTGACTGGATTTTTATGATTAGGTGACTTGTATATTCTGGAAGGAAACAGGATACAAACTGATAATAATTTAGAGGCAGATGTTTTGATCTTTGGGGAATAAAATAGAAACAGTATTTATCACTGCAAGGAAAACGA